TCCCACTTGTTGTTGATTCTTCACAAAAAATTAGAATTTTATATCTTTATGTTTGAAGCCTGAAATGTGGCAAGAGGTTGAAAAGTTCAAGGGGGCCGAATACTTTCGCAAGGCATTGTAGTTTATTCCCATGACTATAAATATAATCTTGCATACGTTTTTTTTCCAATGACTGTAAGGTGAAAAATGTTTCATGGAAACATGTAAATGTGACAAAAAAGAAAAAACAAAAAAATTCTGTAAGGGGAGAAATTGTTTTTCATGACACTGTACATAGCATGTTTTAGTGTACAGATTTAGCTCATGAGATGAGTTCTGTATACTTCAATCTCCTTCCCAGCTCATAAGTTCATGGCTGTTGAGGAGCAGTAAAGCATGGAAATAACCTCTCAGATATTCTTAAGAGCAGCAAGTGAGAGGGAGGGGAGGGATTTGCCAGTTAGTTAAGCTTTATGGCTGCACCCAGTCAGCTTTCTGGGGAAAGAAAGAGCAGCAGAGGAAGTAAGAATAAAGGCAAAGGATGGAAGGAGGGGAAGAGAGTCAGGATTTATTTTCAGCCTTGAAGTGCTGCAATTTAAAGTAAAGATATTATTATAGCATGAGGGCAGCAGACACATACCAGTATAGCTGTGGCCTTAAGTATTAGGCTGCAGTGAAAAATTACAGCAGTGGTTAAGCCTGATGTCTTAGCTGAAGGATGACATTTAAGTTTAACAAAATATTGCAAAAGGGTTACTTTGCTAATTATTAGTAATGCTGCGGGCCTGGACATGTGGGATCACTGACTAATGATTGCTCTGAAAAGAGGCAACCAGAGTCTAATAGACTGTAACTGACAATACAGGACTTGTTTTTGTGTTAATATGTAGCACATTTTCCTTTTTTGACCTAACTTGAAGTCTGGGAGCAGTTTATGGTAGTGTGGATTTTGCAGATTTGTTCTGAAGAAAAAGTCCCCTGCACTGTATGAAGCGTGGAGTTTATGCTGAGCAGACTGGTGTGGTTGTAAAAACTGTGATGCTGGTGAAACATCAGCAAAACCAAGGGAAGCAGAGGTGCACCTCAGTTTGCCCCCAAATGTTTTGACAACAAAACACATTTCACTTTAGTTACTTTCCTTTTGGAAGGATATTTGAGTCATTTGAGTTATAGCCCATTATAACTGAATACCTTTTGTAGCTTTGTGGTATTGTTTTGGAAAATCTAACATATAGTTCCTGTCAAATGTTTATATACAATCATAATGGCTATGAATGTGTATTAATTTTGGACTTTTAATGATTTATTTGAATCGTATTTCCAAGGGTGAAATGGAACATACATAAATGTGATTGGTAAAAATCAAGCATATGTCAACAATTTCTAATCCACATAGGGTGAAAATTAAATATGGAGGCTCACATACATGTACATACCCCCATTAGTATTTGGTTATATGTCCCATAGCAAGTTACACCTTGACATGTTTTTTTTAGCCATCAACGAGCTTCTGGCAAATTTCTGACTGGATATTTGAGCACTCTTCTTAGCAGGATAGGTAGGGGTCATTTAAATTGATTGGTTTCCAGTAAAAGACTATAGAGTCTTTGGCACAGACTCATCTTTTAGGTATATTCAGCAGATTTTCAATTTGCTTAAGGCCAGGATGAGGGAGCTTAATGTTGGCCTTTCAAAATTACTGCTGGTGTAGGCTTTGGATCCTTGCCGTGTTAAAACACCAAATTGTGTCCAAGTTTCAACCATCTGTCCCAAACTGTGCTCCATCAAGAGCAAAGCATCTTCAAACACAACACTTCAACAAGCCAAATGTCTACTGAAAAACCTTTTTATGACCAGGCAAGACAAAGATTGAACTCTTTGGCCTCAATGACAAGAAGGATGTTTGGAGCAGTCAAATTTTTATTTAATTGCTTTAGCACACTTAAAAACCACAAAGGTGCTTCACTATTTAGCTAAACAAACAATAAAGCAAATGCAGAACAAAAGAATGAGTAAAATGCCGAAAAATGTATCAAATATGTATTAAAATTAAAGAAATAAGTAACACTCATAAAACAATTTAAGTGTCATACTCTACTCAAATAGTGTTTAAGGCTGTACCAGCTGCCAAGCATATTCATGGCAGTATCATGCTGTGGGACTGTTTCTCTACCAGTGGTGCGTGTGCATCGCACAAACTGGGTAAAATATTGAAGGAAGGGATTTCTATTACCTCCAAATTCTTTAAGTTCACCTCAGATCCACAAGTAAATGGTTGTAACAAAGCTGGCTGTTCCAACAGGGTAATGATCAGAAACAGATCAGATCTGGGTTGGAAACAAATAAAGTAGATTAACATTAAACCATTAAAAATGGATTCGACTTCAGTACTAATAAAAATAATCTATAAACCATGTGCAAAAGCTGGGTTTGTACCTGGAAAGCAACCAATTTAAATGATTTCTGCCATTTCTGATAAGAAGAGGGGTAAAATACACAGCTAGAATTATGCCAGAGAATTGCTGATAGCTACAAAAATCACATAGTTTCTCAGCAACTTGCTAAGGAGTACTTAGTCAAGTATTAGGAGTTTATGTCTGCAATTGAGATTGTATATAAAATTTGAATTATGCGTGGATTTAAGAAAATTTACAAAAAAAAAATCTAAATTTTGCACCATTTTTTTTAAAACAATCGCAGGGACACATTAAAAACTAATAATCCTAATAATCCCTGCAGGTCTAGAGTATGAGTCAGCACTTGGGAATGCCAACACCTTTTGGCATGTCAAACATGTCTTCTTGGTCCATCCTCTCTACCTTGTCCTTTCCTCTCATGAAGAGTCGCAGCTGCTGATGATCCATAATTTAAACATCTCTTTAGAATATCATAACTGAGACAATCCTCTATACAGTTAAAGGCAAGCGTAACTCCTTTTTTATGTTTGCAAAGATTGGACTGGTGATATCCTCTCCTCCCCATAGTCTTAAACAACTCCTTTGGGAATGTTAGGCTTTCTTAAAAACACTTGAGAGACATCTGAAGTAATTTTGCTTTTACTAAGTATAAAATGTCCTTGATCTACATCAGAACTATTTCTGATTCCAATATATTTTCTGTTTCATCAAAATACCATCACTAAATCCACTTTAACTTGAAAATAAGTTTTATTATTTGTGTTTTACATATTCGTTCAAACATTCCTGCACGGTGGCGCAGTTGGTAGCACTTTTGCCTTGCAGTAAGAAGGTCCTGGGTTTGACTCCAGGCTGGGGGTCTTTCTGCATGGAGTTTGCATGTTCTCCCCGTGCATGCATGGGTTCTCTCCGTGTCCTCCGGCTTCCTCTCACTGTCCAAAGACATGACTGTTAGATTAATTGGTTTCTCTAAATTGCCCTTAGGCATGGATGAGTGTATGCATTGTTGTTTGTCCTGTGTGTCTCTGTGTTGCCCTGCGATGGACTGTCAGGAAGGACTAATCAACCAATTAGAGACAGTCTTGGGTTTATGGAAGAGATATTCTATTAATTTTTTCTAACTTACATTCTTTAGACTAGTGAATTACCATGTCAACAATTTATTTCTATAGTTATTGCTGCTTTCAGCCATTATTGGTGCTGTTTTCCTTACCCTTCAGCATTCCATTGATTAAAAGATTTGCATTTGAAATTTACCAACATCATCAAAATGTAAGGTATGATCAATGATCTACTGTTTCAAACCTTTTTAAATATCTAAAATTACAATACGAGACATTAATATAAGAGACACTTTGACTTATGTTGACAGACATTCAGACAAAACGTCTTTTCAGCTTGGCAATCATTAAACTGAAGATTTTGAGACACTCCCTGCATGGATGGAATAAGACATTATTTTGGCTACTCCTAAAAGTCTGGTGAGGGTATTTTGAAGTTACCTGGAAAAAAGTTAAGTGAGCTACAACTGTTTAAAAAGCAAAAATGTTATAGTGATTTTATTGTTGTTTTACACTGCTTTTCCTTTTCTGTCAGGTAGTTACACTGATTGTAAACACTTTAAATGTTATGCCTTCAGTACATGTTTCACACAGGAGGGTAGTTGATGGTGCACTGCCTCCTATCATTGTTTCCTGTGAAAATCATTGTTGACTTCAGAATAAATTACTGCCTTATACAAACGTGATGTTCATAAAACAATGTTTGCAGAAACTGCTATGATGGTTTTGAGATAGGAGTTGTTTTAAGATGGTAGAGGTTCATTTTAGCCTTTCCCCCTTTTTTGGACTTTAGCCGTTAGCTTTAGCCTCCGGCATCTTCTAATCTGGATTTATTCTAGCTAAAGAGAATTATCTACTTCAGGTAAGATATTAACTGCTTACAACCTTTTTTTTTGAGGATGAAACCTAAAAATTGCATAAAGGGTTAGAGGTTAATCTTAATTTATTTCTCTGTCATCAGATCCTTCCTTTAATTTATTGGTGTTAGTTACAGCATGAGGCAGCCCAGACAACATGCATCTACTCTAATTAGGTTCAAATCATGCTAAATTCCAAGGGGGTCAGACTCAGCGGGTCCCTATAAAGAAATCACACTCTGTGTGCTAACTGTTCTTCCTGGTGCTCATGCTTTAATTCATTTCAGGGATAGAGCAGCTCCATGCAATTTGCTTTTACCCTCACCCAAACAATTTGGTGAGACATTGTAAGTCTGTGAAATATTATGTGAATAATCCATATATGATGTTGTCAGAAATAATTTCTTCTATTTGCTTTTTTGTCACATTTAAATATTTAAAATCAAACCAATTTTGCAGATTTATATTGATAATTTCATTTATCTAGAGAAAAAAACTATTCAAATCAGCCTGGCCCTGTGTGAAAATATAAATATAATTGCCACCTTGGTAAATGATTAATTAACTATAAATAGATGTTTTTTATTTTACTTCAGTCTTCCCACACCCAGGCCCAATTACTGTCTGAGCAGTAGAATCAGGAAATCATTTCAATAGAACCTGTCTGACAGGATGAAGTAGGCTGAAAGAGTGCACCAGTGACCCATCCAGGAGGTCACAAAACAACTGAGTACAACATCATTGCAGACTCACCTGCCACAGTTAAGGTCAGTGCATGATCCAATAATAAGAAAACAACTCCCTCCATGGGAGAGTTCCAAGGCCAAAAACCACTTCTGACCAAAAAGAACACAAAGGCCCCTCTTACATTTCCTAAAAACATCTTGATGATCTCCTAGACTTTTGGGAAAACATTTTGTGGACTGACAAGACAAAAGTGAAAGTTTGCCTGGTTCTGCTGGAGGTTTCTTCCTGTTAAAATTGAGTTTTTCCTCTTCACTGTCGCTACATGCATACTCAGTATGAGGGATTGCTTCAAAGTCAACACCAGTGACTGTCCACTGTCACTACATGGTCATCCAGGAGGAGTGAATGCTGCAAGTCACTGACTGGATGCAATCTGCTGGGTTTCCTTAGATAGAAAAACTTTTTATCCAATTTGAATAAATAACTGAATCTGACTGCACTGTTCAATGGTTAGGATTAATTGGAATGTATGTACCTGACTTTGTGAAGTGCCTTGAAACGACATGTGTTGTGAATTGGCGCTATATAAATAAACTGAACTGAAATGAACTGAAGTTTGTACAAGGTGTGTCACCCCCTGGTGTAAAACTAAGACAGCATGTCAGAAAATGAACATCATCTCGAACGCGGTGATGGTAGTGTAATGGTCTGGGATTGCATTGCCTTATTAGGACCTGGACATTTGCTGTAATTGATGGAGCCATGAATTCTGGTCTGTTGCAGAAAATCCTGAAGGTGAATGCTTGGTCATCAGTTAATTACCTTAAGTTCAAGCGGCATTGGGTTATGCAGCAGGACTATGATCTGAAGCAAACCAGAAATACCACTTCTGAATGGCTAGTAAAATAGATTTGGAGTGGCCTAATTAGAGTACGGACTTAAATCTGATTTAGAATATGTAGCATGACCTTAAACAGACCATCCATACTTAAAAAAAAACCCTAACTTTGCCGAATTAAATCAATTCTGCAAAGAACAGCTGGCCCAAGTTCCTTAACATGATGCAAAAAACTCCTTCTCAGTTTTTGCAAATGCCTGGTGGCAATTGTTTCTGCCAAAGCTGGCACAACCAGTTATGTTTAGGGGGCAAATTATGTTCATATAGGCTCAGGTTGATTTGGAAAGTTTTTTCCCCTCAATAATTGAAATCATAATTTAAAGTATGCATTTTGCATTTACTCGGGTTATCTTTGTCTGATATAATTATTTTATGATCTGAAACACTTAAAAGTGACAAAAAGCTATATCAGAAGAAATCTGTAAATACATATATAAATCCATATGAAAACAAAAATATTGGTCCTAAGGGGATGTGCTATTTCAGATGTGTCGGCATGAGCTGTGATTCATTAATATTGAATGATTTTACTTCTAGGAGTTGTCTTAAAACATTCCTCATGTATTTTTTTAATTTCAGCTGAAGAAATCATTGGTTCAATTTAAACTGTTAAATGATTTGATCTAAAGTGCAATTAATTTGGTTGCATATAGATTTTGTTAGGTCTCAAATGACTGTTCTCTTGTGAACCTCAGGCACCAGAAAGCCAAAGCTTTTTTTTTTCTTAACTTTCTTTTTCCTCATTTATTTTTAGATTTTTTTAGACAACTTGAAAGCTTCATCCGTACACTTCTTTTCATAATACCTCACACCTATAAATATCTTCACAGCTAACCAGTTAAAAAAACACTCCGTGCTTAAAATAGACTAATCCTTCACATTGTCATTAACACTTTGATATTTTTCCCTTTTCTTGCGTGACAACACATTTAAGATTCTTCAGAAGCTGCTTCAAACAGAAAACACAAGCCTGTTTCAGACATGAGGAAACACATGCTGGTTACTTCAGGAGAAAAAAACGTGCTTCTCGTATTGGGATTTGCTGGGTTGGCGTTTGACCTAGATTCAGTTGGGATCTGTAGATGTTCATCACATCAAATATTTTATATTAGGCTTGCTCATTTAAATAAAAAAAATCAGCTTTACAGTGAAACAATTTTCACATAGTAGGCTCATGGGGTTTAAGCAAGGCTGTTTTTGAAATTATTTTGGTCCTTGAGACATGTGAAATATGCAGTTTTTCTTCCTTTTTTTGTGAGCTGTAAAAGCATGTTGCCCTTGGCAGCCTACACAGCCTCGATGGCCACTACGAGACATGAAGTTTTCTTTTATGGACCTTTGCAGCTTTCTTGCTCTATATTGATTGGCACGATATTAAATGAGCTAAGACAGGGATTGTAATTGAAGTTACATTTCTGGTTCACATTGTGATACCTCTGACTGCTCTCAGGCTCAGTTGGCATGCAAGAGATCTGCACTGTGTTCTGCACCTAAGATGATGTGTGGGGACCCATTCTGACTTGGCGAATTTTGTACAGACCGATGCACATTCTCCAAGACACAAAATAGTCACCTTGGGATTATAGTTTTTGCTCTGCTTTGTTCACTTTCACTGTGCAGCCTCTTGCACATGTAGATAAATTCCAAAATAAAACCACAAGACCACCATAAATTGTCATTTGTTTAATAATTACAGCACCCTCAACAAGTTTTGGCACCCCTGGTAAAGTGCTGTTAAAAAGCTTGAAACAAATCTTGCAGCAAGAAGGTCCAGGGTTCGACTCCCGGCTGGGGGTCTTTCTGCATGGAGTTTACATGTTCTTCCCGTGCATGCGTGGGTTCTCACCGGGTACTCCAGCTTCCTCCCACAGTCCAAAGACATGTCTGTTAGGTTAACTGGTCTCTCCCTTAAGTTTGTGAACGGGTGCGTGCATGGTTGTTTGTGTGTTGCCCTCCGATGGACTGGCAACCTGTCCAGGGTGTACCCCACCTCCCGTCCATAGACTGCTGGAGATAGACACCAGCTTCCCCGCGACCCACTATGGAAGAAGGGGTATAGAAAATGACTGACTGACTGACAAATATTTTATTGCAGTAGCAGAATTTCAAACTGAAAAATCTAACCTTTAATTTAAGTATATGCATTTAATGGGAAAAAATTATCCATGTTACGAAATAATTGGGACAGCACTTAGTCTTCATTTATAACATTTCTTTAAATATTTCCATAGAGAGAAGGATTGAACAATCATCTTTGGACAATCTCTCTAAAATGGGAAGAAGGTTTGTTTTGTGTCTGGTGAACCATGTCTGTGTTGATTTGGCCATATGTTTGGTATCATTCTCCTGCTAAAATCCCAATGACAA